TGGACATCAACTTATTGAAGCACCATCTCCGGAATCTATTTCGCTTGAGCCTGAAGGTTAAAATGGGAGGGGATGGGTTGTCAGTCCCTTCAGTTTTCAAGCGCTACAACATTAAACCCACGGATCTCAATCAATGCAAACGTCTGGTTGTAGAAAACAGCCGTGGCCTACTATACGAACTTCTTAGCTATCATCGGTCGGTTCTATATGTCATATCCAGTGATCTCAAGACTATGAGTGAAGCCGTGGTTCTTGGGACGAAATGGATTCTAGCGAAGAATATAGCTCGCTGGGTACGTTTGATCTCTTCGATTCAGAATGATGCCCCAGCCAACCTAGATTATGATTTAGCGGCAGAACGAGCAGGATCCAGCTGTTATTGCTTTTTGTGCAGAGACAAACGCCACCGGCAATGATGCCGGAGTTGATGTTGACGTTGACAACGATGCCGAATCGATTGAGCATGCTGATGCGGATGTTGATCATGCTGATGGCGGCGACAATGATATCGATGCTGCAGCTGCGGCTAAGGAAGCCAAACTTGTCACAGCTCTCAGGATCATCATATCCTCCATTGAGGAGGATAAGGTTGGCCAAATCTCTGATAGAGCGGGAATTACTCTGCATATATTGGAGACCATATGTCAGCTCGTTGGTGTAGATCACACCAGCATTACAGACGTGAGCAAGAAGGCGTTGCTTGCAAGAAAACTACGTGACGAGGTGTGGCACTTTTTTCTCATTGAATCATTACGACTGACTCACGTACCAAGTGTGAGGGTCTAGATGAGGATGCACTATCAACAACTCTTCGAGAGGGATCGAGAGAACCGTCGGTTGCCGATCGTGAAGAGGAACCTTCTAATGCCAAAGCAATCCGTAACACGGTAAAGGCCATTTTAGCCTGCGGGGCTGAAAACGACAAATGGATGGATCTCCCTCGAGCTCGCGGGGTAACACAATCTGGACTAGAAGCGTGTTGCCAAATGTTAAGTATTGATATATCTGGACTTGTTCCACGAACGAGAAAGTCGATGCTGGCAGAGGCTGTGGCGCACAAGGTTTGTTCCGAGTAACCAAATAATCACTTGTCAGATATGTTTACACTTCAATACAGATCGTGGAAGATGACACAGCATTTGCTGCGATAAAAATGTGTGTGCAGACCGCAAGTCAGTGTGATCAGCCTCTTCTCCGTCGTGTAGTGCTAGGAAGGGACATAATGCAAGAAATCTGGACCGATATGGGCCATACCCAACTCCCGAGCTGGGTCTCTGGTGTTTCTCGAGAATGGTCAACTACCTCCGAATTATCCGCCGACCAGACACGCGTTTTATGCACCATCCATTTGCCGATCACCCTCATACGGCTATGGCATAGCACCGACGACAGGAGGCAGAGCATTCTGGCAAATTTCATGGATCTCGTGAACGCTGTTCGCGTTGCCAACATGCGAACTACGTCTCCCGGAGATGTCGAAACATACAACACATACATGCATCGATACATGGTCAAAGCCCTGGAACTTTATCAAGACGAAGCGGTAAAGCTACATCAGCACGCAGCGTTGCATATTGGCACAATGCTCGAATGGTTTGGGCCTGTCCACGCGCATAGCGCTCCCTACTATGAGTGTTATATAAACTTTATGCACCGCGCCCAGATAAATCGGAAACCTGGTGAGACACCTTCAAGCCCCAATATATATATAGGCTATATATGTGTATGTAAACTAACAAGTCCTTGATAGGTGATATGGAAGTCTCATTTATGTTAGCTTCTTCCTGCAGCGCCAACATGCGTGCCCTGCTTGCCGACGAACAGAATGAGCATACCTGCGAAATGATGCACAGGCTCACGATGCTTGCCAGGGAGCCAGCCAGAGGATTTCATCGCGTCGACGATTTCGACATTACTGATGGGTGGGGGGTGGCAATGGGCAGGTCAGAATACACTTTAGGCTCGTTGCTTGCAGCCGATGTATCTGTCGACGAGGATTATGAAGCACCTCTTAACGAGTTGCTCTCTGGCGCGGTGGACTTCAGGCATGCCATCTTCTATGATGATATCTGCGTCGGGGGGATCCCCTACAGTCGGGCGGGATCGAGTAAATGGAGAAATAGCGCCATCATGTTTCATCCCACACCCTCAACCGAACCCCAAGCAGGTCAGATTGATCATATTATGCAGTTCTACTGCGAGCCTGGCGTTTTCTTAGCCATACGCTCTTTCACTCCCGTCGAGGCTGCCTCAGATAGGCGTTATGGACCCGCGGCAGGTTATCTCTGCAGTTCATCTTGAGGGCTTCATATTGTTGCCGTGTCCAAGCTTGTTTCTCACTGTGTGGTCACGAAGATGGGATGCGGCGATGAAGGCAATGTTTTTCATATCTTGTCTCTCGAAAAGGTGGGTCCTCCCGCTCCTTCATACCTGTATGTATCACTGAATGGCCCCAGATATCAACAAGCAACGATCGTGTGTAGCTATATATTTGGCGTACAAAACTTCACAGGGAGTAATATAATCTGATTGGGTTTCCAGACCTTTTGCTCCTTCAGTACTAGTACTGGTACAAGTTGTTGAGTTGGCACTTGAGGGTTTTGCTAATTTACTTCAGATTTATGGCCAGCGCCAATAATCGCCACGACGCAGGTCTTACAATTGTTAGTCGTGTTTGGTATATGATAATATCGATGTAGTATGTAATTAATATTGTCGTGTCCGTGTATTCTAGCTATAGCTATAGCTAGGCGGAGCTCGAGCCAAACCCAATTGGGACACAGTATTGCGCACCTCCCGCAGAGTGTGGAGACACCATGATCGACATGATAAGGCGATCCACACGTCCCAAGGCACATGGAACATTGGACTGTCCGCTTCTGGACTGAAACACTTTGACACTGAATAGCGGCGCAGGCACAGGTTAGATTAAAGGCGAATGCGCCCCAATATGGCCAATTATATAAGGCCGAGGCCCGGGCCTTCAATCAGCAATCAGAACAATTGTCTAGTGTTGCCTGACATCGTGATCGTGCACATTGAAATACTTTTTAGGGAGCACAGAATTCTTTGAACAAAGGTCAAGGCCAAGAGCAGTGATATCGACTTGCAGTTGGAGTTACATACATAAAGATTTGGTCATGAACAATGCCAGGATGCGTATCCGGGCTGCGTGATGTTCGTACATTGACTGTTGGCAGACCTAATTAGAATCACCGATACATGTACATGTACTGTGCTTCACTAGTACTAGTCGAGCGCACAATCGACGTATATACTACTTTACTACCCATGGCAAAGAGCATCGCAAACCCTTTGAGGGGACCCTTTAGACGGCCGATCAGATGAACTTACTTCCTAGGTTCATGGAGGAAGATTAGCGCCGAAGATAATCATCTTGATCGTTATCTCCAAGTACGGGCCCAGAACGATAACAACATGACAAGTGCGCAAGGGATTAATACAAGGTACCAATCACAATAGGCGAGAAGCTTAAGCGAGGCAAGCACACACCTTCGGCCCATCTCTTCGAGATTATCATGATTCATCTATTCAAAAGTTCAACGGTCAACTTCATCATATCTACGTCAAGTCTAATACCCCCAGGTAGCACTAGCTGAGGGCCATTGACATGTCAAGGGCTGTACATTTCCACCGCAAAAAAAATGGGGCGTGGTTCGTCGAGCAGTCTACTACAGGGGTTTGACAAGGGTAAGGAACGACCGACCGTGGTTCATACCTAAGGGCCGTATATGTTTATCATGTATATGAAGGCAGACTATGCCATAACTAGGCACACTCGAATTTTCTCATTGGTGTGGACTCCTAGCTAAGTTCCAAAATTAATTATAGACAAGTGTAGGTGCAACGCTTGAGCCTGAAGTCACGCGACTTACGACTGTATCTCCTTTTAGGTACTACCGAACTACAACACTTTGGCCGCACGTATAAATCCCAGCGACATGAGTTTAGATTTGCCCCACATCCGCAGGCCTCCTCATGCCTCATGCATCACGAGAATCAGAACTATAATATCAATGTCTGCTTGCGTATCATGATCAGGCCCTGAACAGTCCCTCATGATCAGTAATGCGGCCAAAACAATGCAATCTCAGAATTTGCATTAAGGACTGCATGCGTTATCCTCGGGAGCTGTTTGGAATGTTTGAGAGCGACACATCCATAATTACGCGCCAAGTCAAAGCATTAACATTCAGCTGCAGGCACTGATATCGATATCAATGACTCGTGGTGATCAGGTATGTACATGCGAAATATTGTTGCAATATTAATATTTTGCTGACAATCCATGGCTTGCAAGTACGCAAGCCATTATCGTATATATATATCCGTATTCATGTGGACGACACTTCCCATAGTGACCGCATCTCTTTAAATTTGCTGTTTGAACTCGATGTGTTCCGCTACTCATAGCACTTCATGCCGTTCCCGGGCCCTTCGCAGGCGAGGCGCTTTCCTGGATTTAACGCAGTGCCAGGATACAGCAGTAAGTTGAACTCTTTGCAATTGGATAAATTGCCGAGCTAACGGTCTCACCCATCAGCCCAGAATTGAGGGTTTATTTTTCCCCTTACACGATCATACAGGTCGGTGGAGGGACTTTACAACAAGGGGTACGCCAGCCGTAGGACACTGCATCCCTTTGGTCAATGTCCAAGAGGCATCGCATCTCTTCCCGGCGGCAGATTCCCCCACCATCATTCAAGCGACGGTCTCTCTGTCCAGTCCGCCAAAGCACTGCTTCAAGGTTTACGCCTACCTTATGAAGAAAGGTGCTCTCAATGAGGGGCTTCGTCGCATCTCCCCTCATATTCCATGGAGGGGGGAGCTGATTGTATTTAGACTCGGTGAACGGGTCCCGTTCCTGAGGTCCTCATGGGGGGCATCACAGAAAGACATTCACCGAGCCATCCGCCTGTGAGAACATATTCCTAATGTCGCTGTTATCGTCCAATGCTCACAGCATGACAAGCTTTTTGTCACGAGTCGTTGGGGCCGTTGACTCGCACGAGGCGACCCCCACTCAAATCTTTGTAAGTTGAGGATCCACGCAAATTGTCTTCCGCCTTCTGACGGTCTGTCTTTACTAGGAATGAATGTAGTGTCCTTTAAAGTTAGGACAACGTGTTATAGCTGTAATGTCTTGATTGGTTTCTGTATTTGGGGACACGCGGTTGACCCATATGAAATGTACATCCCCGGGCCCTGTGCACTGCACGAGCTACCGTTTCGCCATGAAACTATATATTCCCCTGTTCCCTATGTTCCCTGGGCACCAGGAAATAGAATATTGATTGTAGAGTATCCTGTAATATTACTACCAAGGAATTGCCTCCCCCGCACGAAGTACATGTGGATTATGCATAAAGTTTCCCCTTCCACAGCGCAGGGCCACCTGTCCTACACAAGTTGAATCCGGAAACATATGCATAGCGACCGGGTGGTTCAGTAAACACAATCAAATGAACACCCTCTTTTAGCGCATACGGTGAGTCGGTCACAAGTCCTACGAGCCCCATACTTTTGGTGCTGCCCGCCGCGTCCGTCCCAATGACAATCACTCGTTCGCCGGATTTTAATGCAAGGTTATCTGGAATCACCTTCCTCAGCTCCGCATCTTTTTGTCTGAGGTTATTCTGATTCCCCGTCTTGACAACGATCCGCTCAGCCCAAGGAGTCACCGCCTCTGTCACTACAGTGTACCCACTGATCATATTGTCCGTCCGATATGATCTGTCGTCAATGAGGGTCTGTAATACCATTATTTGGAATTTCTTGTGCATCATGACAGGATTCCTGAGCCAATGGTCTGCAAGTCATCATTAGTGCATGACTCTGAGGAACATAGAACGACTCAATACGCTGGAAACGATCATGACTTGCAAAGATTTCACCACGAGTATATTTGTATGCCACCTCTTGCCACGTAGATTCTGAATCATGGCTGCGTGGGGTCATTCCTATAGGCGGAGGGGTCCCTGGAAGTACGGTACCCCCCTGCGTCTGCTGATGAAGGATTTGAGGGGGCAGATGGATGGCTTCCATGAGGGGTATCCCAGAACTGCTATGTGATCAACATTGGAAGTATCATGGCATGAGGAACGTACTGTTTCTCTTGGAGATATTTAGCGGAGATACAGGTTGTGTAGTGGGTTATATGGTTCAATTTGTTGACCTCGAATTCGAATGCTTCATCGTCCCCGTCAACTACCGGCTTGACTAAACGGGATCCAACGATGTAGCCTTCATAACCCCTGAGAGGGTGATCGACGATGAGTACTTGGAGCCCTCGGAAGGGGTCGCCGGTGTATAGTGATTCCAAGTCCTTGAAACTTCGTGTATTCGGCGGAAATTTGAAAGGAGCGACGCCAGATTGACGTGATTGCGCTGTAAGGCGTATATTCCGAGTGTCTGGGGGAGTTCGTATACACGGAAAAGGTATGCTGACCTTTTGGATTCATTTGAGCGTGAGGTGGTCATGAAGCTATGAATAACTCACCATTCTTCCTTGCGGAGTCGACGGAAGGTAAATTCTAGCCTTTGCCTCATCTAGGGAATGGCACGAGTCGATCCGCAGGTGAACCGGATCCGAACCCACGGGTCAACTGCTCTGTCTAGAAGCATACTCAGAGCCGCGCAAGTATTGCTTGGCGGGTGATCTGGAGCCGCAAGTCAAGTACCTGCGACCTACGGATCGTCAAACCCACGAGTCGAGTACTCGTGACCCACAGGTATGTACAAGATCTGTATTGTTAAATACTCCCATGTATGTAGTATAATACATGAATATACCTAGTCACTGTCAATGTTTATCAAGTCTGATGTACTGGGGGCAGCTTGCATGGGAGTCGACTTGTTACGGAAGGTTTCAACAATGAGATCATGTGGTATGAGCCCGGGGATCTGTGCCCAAGAGTTTAAAACAGTTGCCGCTCGGGTGCTTTCCTCAGATAATCGGTGGCGAAGCTTCGTAACGTTAAGCCCACCACGCGAGAAGCTGTGTTTGACTTCACACGACGAAGCTATGCGGTACAACGGTCAGTAGTCATCAAAAGAACAACAAGATCAGAGGATTGACATAAATGCGAGGGAATCAAATGCAAGGCTGAGGCAAAGATAAGCCTCAACCCACGGTGCCCTGTTTCTTTATGAGTGACGATCATACCGATAAAGAAACTGCTGACACTGTGAGGGTCGTAATGAAGAGGCAAACTATAATATGTCAGTAAACATTTTGGGATGATTAGAAGACATTCTCACTATGGTAGGGGTCAGTGTTAGGGAGCGTAGGCAGCTCTAGGGGGGGGGTTCACGCCGCGAAAGCAGCAGTGCATTTTGAACAGTCCCCTGCGAACTTTGCGACATGGCATACAGGGCGATGCCCCACTGCCAACTAAGAATAATGATAGATACAGCTGGAACTGCTCTATTGCGCTTCAGAAGTGCAAAGACCCTAGGGAAAGTGTAAGTCAGGGGTGCGTAGTGTTGCCTTATTGGACATACGGAGCGTGAGGAAGACTTCTGCCGTGAATGTAAGAAGCATTGTCTCCAATGTTTCCATAAAGACATATCGTTTACAGCTAAATTGAACAGCAGTCAGTCTTTGTGAGAGTGATAGCATTTCTGATACGTACATCTAAGTATAAGGACTCAATGAGATACATGAAGGTTAGTAAAGTTGAGGCGCTCACCCTTATGTCCCAACCGGCGGCGAAATGATCTTTGTAGCAGACGTAAGTCACTGCAGGAGGTTATTTTTCGAGGTACTTGCCTGTAAGGGTGATTATAATGAAGCAGGGGGCCAAATAACGATTCTGGTCTAGCCGTCAGCACGTTGGCCCGCTGGATCGGCATAATAGCAATCACGGACTAGGATAAAGAACAAAAAAACTAGAGATACCCATTCAGTAACGAAAGCATGGTAGGGCATTGTGACGTGAGCTAGAAGGTCACGACCACACGAGAGGAGGGGGGAGTTTTGAGGCAGTCGAAGAAGTGATAGGGATAATGTGTATTTCGAGTACACTGCTGAAACGATACAAGTAGAGAGCCTTATATACGGTAGGAGCAGGGTATAGGGTGTATCTGAATAGGTCTAATTACGATACAGGCAAACGAGTAAGTACGAGAGTCCAGATGGCGCAGATCGAGGTAAACGGAGAGGGAAGACGAGGTAAACTGAGAGGCGAGAGGAAGTCGGGCGAAGGCCTGTGGCGCTACATACGCCCTTCTGCGGTTGCGAGAGGAACCGCATTTTTCAGTCGGCGTCCTGGGGAGTGGTAGGAGTGTCGATATTGTCAATGATCATGCGCGATGAGGAGGCGACGGCGGGCTCGACCTGATGGGAGCTGCCAGTGGCTGGAGCTGCAGGTGCACGTTCATTGCGGAGGCGCTCTCGCTGAGCTGCGAGCTTCTCAGCCCTTTTCTTGGCCTTGTTGCTTTGGCGTTGCGCGATGGAGTCTGCGATGCGCTGTTTGGTGCGTTTTTCTCGTTCGAGTTTTTCGAAGAAAAGATCTTCGAGGAGTTCGCGACGCTGGGGGGTGAGCGTGATGGATTGGAGGGACTCAGCGACGGCGGGGGCGGCGGCATGAGTGACATGGGCAGCCGGTTTAGCGTAGGGTTTATTTTTTGGGATGGGTTTGGCCATGGCGCAATTTTGCGCGGACGTGGGGTCCAATGTTCCATCGGGGATGACAGCCTGTAGCCCATGCTGGGGGCCATGTAGAACGATGGCACCGGACTCGTTGAAGACCGAGAATTTAGTGAGGACGTTCGGTTTGAGGTTGTAAACTCGAGTGAATTCGTAGTAGCCGCCCGGGGCGGGGTCATTGGCAGTGATACGTCCTTGGCGTAGGGTACGATCGAAGCATATGTATTCACTGATCTGGTCTAACGAGTAGACTGTGGCGAACGACGTGGCTGGATCAATCTGTGTGACAGATGAGGGGTCGCTGCGAGTGTGATGAAGGAACGACTGGGGCATTGTGATGGAAGAATGGGCTTGACCCGGTGAGCGTAAGGAACGACGGTATTTGCGAGAACTGAGGTGCCGGTGTCTGGATGGTCGGGTCTTTATAGTGGCGGGAGGAGATATGGTAAGAGTGATAGAGCTGTCAAAGATCTGAGGATCGTCCGAGGGAGGTAGTTCGGTTCCCGCGGGGAGATCACGGATGCTGGATACTCCTACGGCCTCGAGGTACGTTTCAAGGGCCTGTAGATGGCTGACCTGGTGGTAAGGTAACCACGTAATGTCGCCGGATGTCCATTCAACTTTGAACAGGGCTTTGGCCTTGGATCCTTGGTGAGACAAGATTCTATTAACAGCCCACTCGGGCTCCGCTGCGCCTTCATCCTCAGCGACTTGATTATCGAGGCGACCAGGAAATAGTTGATCATCGCTGGGGACGTGTACGCGTAATAGTGACACATGGAAGGCGTTGTGAACGCCGCGTTGCCTGAGTCGTGGGGGCAGTTCCACCTGGTAGGTGTTATTGTTGAAGTCCTTCGTGATTTTGTAAGGACCGATGTACTTTGGCACGAACTTGCGGGCTAGTCCCTTCAGAAAGGTGATGTTCTTGGTGGAGATGTACACCAGATCGTTTGTCGCAAATGGCGATGGTCTTCAGTGACGATTCGCATCACGGGTTTGTTTAACTCGCGCCGCCAAGATGCTGTCATGAGCGGACATCACTGCATGCTTTAGCCGTTGTGCAAACACACGGACTCCAGGGAACTCGGTGCTCCTTGGGGAGTCCCAGATGAATGGGCGAGGCATACATTCGGAGTTGAGGAAGAAGGGAGCGAATCCCGTGCTTTCAGATCGCGATAGATTGATTGCGAACTCAATCGCAGGAAGTTTCGAAACCCAATCCTTCTGGTTTGGGTGTACACACTGTCGAATCATCGTCGTGAGGGTTCGATTTGCTCGTTCTGTTGAACCATCTGACTCGGGGTGGTAGGCACTACTCATATTGAGCCTAGAGCCAATGAGACGGTGGAGGTGTTGCCAGAAGTGGCTCGTGAATAGGACATCACGGTCACTGATAATCTGTTTAGGCAACCCGTGAAGCTTGTATACTTCGGAGAAGACGAGCTCGGCCACGTTTTTGGCGGTATAGGTTGTTCGACTAGGTACGAGATGCACCATGGCTGTTAGTAGATCGATCACAACAGTGATCGAGTCGTATGTAGCATCTCGATTGCTCGATTCAGGTAGCGGGCCCACGAAGTCGATTCCGATGGCTTCCCAACGGTGTGCTGCGACAGGGAGTGGGTTCAACATCCCGTAAGGTTTTTGGTTGTTGGGCTTGCTACGTTTGCACGTAACACAAGATTCGCAGTAATGACGTGTGTCTGATACGATGTCCTTCCACCAGACACTGTCACGGAGGTAATCCACAGTTTTGTTAGTACTGAGGTGAGCTAATAGTGAATGAGCCTCAGCTATGACAATTTCTCGTAGGTTGCGCCCTTCATGGGTTATCCTGGGGATGCACAGGACAGTGCGCTCCTTCTCGTTTAGGTAGATTAGCCCATCAGAGACCTTGAAGTTCCGGAAGTCTTTGGGTTTGTCTACGATGGCCTTGAAGAGGGGGTCTTCAAGATAGCGAAAGCGGAGGACCTCCTCAAGGTTGACACCCTGGGGGCTTTCTGCGACAACATGGATCAACGTGGGAGGTGCCACGCTGTCATCCTGGCCTCCTATGTTTGGAGTTTTGTTTGTTTCTGGTCGAGCTTCCACGTCTGGCTGTTCAGCTGATGCGAATTCTTCCGTAGATTCGTGTGTTTGGGCAAGGTTTTGTTTTTCTCCCAATGCCCCGCCCTTCTTCCATTTGCAAGCGGGCTTACGAACGGAACCTTCCTCCATGACTGGAGGCAATTCGGGTGTGTATCCCGCCAGCAACGCGCCCTTCTCAGTGAGTTTTCGGTTGGTACGCAGGTTATACCTCGGGGCGTGTACATCCAAGGACATGGCTGTCATTTCCCTTCCAACACCAGTTGACGATGTTGCCTGGGTAGGTTGGCCACTCTCGTCCTCATCATCCGCAAGGTCATGGTATGTGTATTTGCTTCGGGCACGCTCCGCTCCAGGTGTGTTGTTTGAATACATACGAGATAGTGCATCGCTAAGCACGTTCTCGGATCCAGCAATGTATACCGGCGTGAAGTCAAACTCGGATACTTTTTCGAGCCAGCGGGCTTGTCGGCCGGTTAGGTTCTTCTGGCTGAGAAGGTGAATCAATCCCTTGTGGTCGGTCAACCACTGAAATTTAACACCCTGCAGTATGTCACGGTGTCGCAACATAGTTTCAACCCCAGCAAGCATTTCGATCTCGTGTACGGCGTAGTTTTGCTGAGCCGGGTTCAGCTTCGCCGAATAAAATGCTGCAATGTCGGCAGATTTCCAGTCTGTGCCCTGGCTTACGACTCCAGCTATGCCCGTAACACATCCGTCGGTTACCATCCATATTGGTGGCTCGTTTTTTCCGTAACGGAGGGGCTTTCGGTGGTGATTGCGTGCCAGTTCAACCAAACGTTTGACTTCCTCAAATGCTCGCTGATGTGTATGTTCCCAACGAAACGGCACTGTATCTCCCGTTAGGGAGGATAGGATTCCCATGGGCACGTGTACACGTGCAATGTCATCCGCAAGATAACCTACGGCCCCCAGAAACCCTCGGAGGAGGTTGCGATTAGTTGGTGTTTTCCATTTCGAAACAGCATCAACTTTATGGGGGTCCATCCGGATGCCATCCTTATCAATAATTCGTCCCAGGATTTTCATTTCTTCGCAGAGGAAGAACAGTTTCTTCGTGGACAGGTAGAGTTTCTCGCGTTTAAGGATGTCTAGAATTAACTTGACATGTCGAACGTGATCCTCCAGGGTATTTGAGAAGATAATTATGTCATCCAGGTAGATGTACATGAATACACCTATGTATGGTGCAAACAGGTGGTTCATTAGAGCCTGGTACGTCGCCGGACCATTACAGTCTCCCTGCTGAAGTACCTCTGACAGCATTGTGCCATCCGGGGTGGTCATCGCCGTCCGATGAACATGTTCTGGTATGATACGGATTTGTTCATAGGCGTTCTGCCCATCCATTAGGGACCAGTACAACGCTCGTGCGACATCACGGCAGATTCCTTCGATAAGGGGTAATGGGGACGACATCTTTCGTGTGTTCGCATTTCGTTCCCTTAGGTCAGTGACACACCGAAGCAAACTTGTGCCCGGTTTGTAGATAAGCAACATCGGGACGGGGCTCCCAACGGCAGACACCTTCCAGCGTCCTGTTCTGACGTATGCAGCTCGTTTAGCGTTCCACTGTTCACGCAGGGGTTCTGGACACCGGGACGGACGCCAGTGGTATACCTTTGTCTTGTCGATGAGGGGTATTGTGTGGTTAATCGCTCGTAGAGGAGGGAGCGGGGTCTCTTCTGCCATTTTGCACAGGGGTTCCGCGTAATCGCGTAGTTCCTGGCGAACTTTCTCAAGGTTGCCCTCATGCAGGCTCATAGCTCGTGACGATAACGTTGATACTCCTGCGCCCTTCAGTGGCAGTGAGCTGGCGCTTCCGACAACAACATTAACAGGATTAATCCCAAACGAGATCTGGTGTTGATATAGCCACGGTGTGCCCAGGATCATGTCATAGTTCAACAGATTGATGACATCAAAGTATCGTTCTTCTGCGATGTTCTGGTAGCTGATCTTTGCTCTACAGCCGTAGTTGATCTTTGAGCGTGAGCCTTGGACCGCCAACTGGACAGCCAAGGGATTCTTTAACTGAATCTTTTTCAGCCCGAGTTGCTCCACGAGGTTGGTCGATATGAAATCTCCCAGTGAGCCCGAATCTATCAGTGCCCGGGCAGGCTTTCCGTTGACATTCATGGTAATCGTTACAGGGTTCGGTACCATTCGACTATAGTCTCGAGTGGTAGCCGAGTTGCGCTGCAAAGCTGCATAGGTTCCTGCCTGTACCTGCTGTCCAAACAGTTCCAGGTGGTCCAGGGAATGTTCTTCCAAGGCAGTAGTACGCTGCCTTCGAGTATCGAGCTCTGTGAATCCATCGATGAGCTTCAGCACGAATTCGACGAGTTCGGGGTCATCATCATTCTCTGACATGGTAAAGAACTGCCCTAGATCGGCGTCCTCCCGATTCTCATCGCACATTCTCCAGGCGGTCTCCATTTGCTTCGAGAACCACCCTATAATGTTAAAATGGGGGTTTTGCAAGTGGATCCAGTCAAGAGCATGGATCAGGCCGCTGAGCCTGTCAGTGATAAATACAACATCATTTTCGCTGCACCATTTCGCTTCAAACTGATCAAGATCAAGCTCAAAGTTGTCATGCTCTGTCCGAAGATTCTCGGGATATGGGGCCTCAACAGTTAAGGCTGATTGGATCATGGCAGCCAAAAGGTCGCCAATACAGGCGGATGAAGCATACTGCCGTACGCTTTGGCGAGGCTGCTGGTGTCGTTGGGCTACTCAAACCGCCAGCCAGTGAAGGATACGAAATCGGGGGTTCTTGAGTTGCTCAATAGGCAAGTACTCATAGTGTTCCGTCTGGAGGCGATCCTCAATTACGACTTCGTCATCAGAGATCTGCATGATTGAGAAACGGTTTTCGTCCCAGAAAGATCCCAACGGGGGAAAAGTCCAGTCCCCAGGGAGGTGAAAGGTGTGGTCTAGGTTGAGTGCATTTTCGCACGCAGTCGTGTAAAAGCTGATTAGGCCAGCTTCAGCTGGGCTAGTCGATGCACCCTGATTGTCAGGATCTTCGACCAGACCCATACATCCCACATGGAGTACCTCCAAGTTATCGTCAATATCCACAGCTTTGTGGAGTTCTTCGGTCTCTTCGATGAATGCCATACCATGGACTGGGATTCCTGGCGGGCCATGCGAGGACTGTGCTCCTCGTACGTTATGCGCCTGAGGGCATTGACGTGATACATGTCCTGTTTCTTGGCATCGGAAGCATCGTCCTTCCGCCTTAAGCTTAGCTATCTCCGGTTCAGAGAGCTTGGGCTTCTCAGCAGAGGGTTTCTTATTTCCGAATCGACCAGGTGGCCTGGGCCGTGAGGGCTGACTGTGGTTGGGTCGACTGTTGCCAGCAGGAGGTTCTCCCCGAGCTGGCTTGGGTTTGCTTCCACCAGATTTTGAGGTTGAAGCCTCACTGTTCCATTTGGACTGATTGTCTCGCTGATCGCGTGTAGATCCGTGGCGGTGGACCACCACCGACTGGGCAATCTCAATCACCTCCGCCGCCGAAACGACCTCGTCCCATGAGGAGGTTTCTGGGTTACGGCGATCCCGCCACAAATCCTGTTGGATCGACGCACGAAGACCAAACCAGAGCTTGTTCACTCGGTCTCGTTCCAAGGTCTGCCCAATAATTGAGAATAGTTCAATGAGTTCAGATACATATTCTTTAACAGTCTTCTCATTCTGATAAAGGTTTCTTAGATGCTTTTGCTGCTTCGAGACGTAGTTGGTCGGGAAGCAGAAGTTAAACAGCGCAGTGAAGAAGGCATCCATAGTCCACTCAGAAGCCCTAAACGACACCTGCCGTATGAAGAATGTATAAGCCTGTCCCTGCAAGTAGCGGGCCAGCTTCTCGACATGGTGCTTTCAGCGGACTTGTCCCTCTTCCACGAAGCTCTTTGCTTCTTGCATGAAGCGGAAGAAAGCCTGGCTGTCAGGCCTGCCGTCGTAGGGTTCAGGGGGAGTCGGCTTGATCAAGCAGGATCGTTGTTTCTTCCCCCAATGGCTCTTCTTTTTGTGGGATCGCTTCTGCGATCTTCGGTGGTACGAAGGTTCTGAACTTGAGCTGCTGTCTGATTCACTCAACGAAGACTCCGAGCTCAATTCCAATTCCGATTCATCGGGTGATTATGAGTTATCTGACAAACTAGGATCGTTACTACCACTAGGATCAACAGGCCTAGCTGCCGCAAAAGCTCGTCCAAGATAGCTTTCAGCAGGTAACTGATTACTAGGTAGTATCGGGGTTTGGGGCGCTTGCCGACTATTACCTATAGCCATCTGAAAGGCTACACCTCGAGAGATAGACACAGGATCCGCCAAAGGTAGTTGGATCCGTGCCTTCTTTTTAGCTCTTTTACTGAGTTTTTCTTCCTTTAGCTTAGAGTTTTCAGCTCTCAAGGCCTGGAGTTCACGCAACAGTACATCGTTTACGTTCTCGGCAGGTTTCATGGCCGCGGGTGGGAGGAGTGATCCTCCCGCATGTTTGTCGAGTGTAGCAACCTCACGCTGGTGTTTCTGCAAGGCTCCGTAAGCTTTCGCTTGTGCAGCTGGGTTCAGATCCTCATCATCTGACAAGTCAAGGTTCCCCCAGTTACGGGGGTCAATTCCTTTTCCCTTGTCCTTGGAGGGGCCTTCTCCAAGGTTTGCGAGCGGCTCATGGGCCCGAGCCTTATCTCGCACAGCCTGATTCCTTCTCGAAATCAGGTCTCGTTCTTTTGCATTCATGCCGCCAACGGCAGTTTTTACGGTTTTCACCTGCTCAGGATTTAATTCACGCTGAGTTGTTACGAATACACTAGACTCTTCGTCAAGAGCTAATTTGTTTTCACTATTAGAATTCTCTTCCGTAGAAGGTACTACACGCTTTGCGATGACGTCACTGTAAGAGCGACGCCGAGGCTCGGCGGGAGGACTTTCGTCCCGTTCGACGTCTGAGACGACTGAACGTTCGGGGTTAATGGGAAGGAAGATTCCCTGAGGCTCACCAGTGAGTTCAGAGGTTTCGGGAGTGGCTGCGCGCTGGACAGCGCGACTACGAGTGGCATAGGTTCTGGTCATGATGGGAGGAATGGAAAGTGGTGCGGTGCGGTGCAAGTTGATCAGACTGGCGTCGTCCGGCGGGGGTTTGTCGTAAAGTAGTTTTTTTTTTAAGGAAGCATTGGTTCTATCAAAAATATGTGACGTGAGCTAGAAGGTCACGACCACACGAGAGGAGGGGGGAGTTTTGAGGCAGTCGAAGAAGTGATAGGGATAATGTGTATTTCGAGTACACTGCTGAAACGATACAAGTAGAGAGCCTTATATACGGTAGGAGCAGGGTATAGGGTGTATCTGAATAGGTCTAATTACGATACAGGCAAACGAGTAAGTACGAGAGTCCAGATGGCGCAGATCGAGGTAAACGGAGAGGGAAGACGAGGTAAACTGAGAGGCGAGAGGAAGTCGGGCGAAGGCCCGCGGCGCTACAGGCATGGATAACACGAACTCGTTGACTTCTTCCCTTTCCACCCGAAGTTTACCTAAAGAATCAAATTCCGATGAGAAACGACCTATTTGTGCGAGGGATAATGATGATAACCTCCGATTCAAGGGTAAGGAAATAATCAAAGACCCAAAGAGCTGATGCAGCAACCCAATATAGCTACGGGTGAATGGCAGACGAAATATTAGTGGCCAATGCTATGATGAGGCAGCTGGTAAACCCACCTTCATGGACCATCTCGCGGAGATTAAGGGCTGTTGAGTGTTGAGACTCAACAAATATAGGTGTTCCACTCACAGATCGAATCCTAGGGATATAATAGAGTCATTAAGTTGGCTATTCATGGCTCATGAGATGGTAGTATGGGTGCAGCTATTGGCGGAGTGGATACCTGACGGTCATTGTAGCTACTCATGATACTGCCTTTAAAAGAGATAAGAGCACGCTCTTGGGGCTGTGGTTGAGACGGAGTGTTGGCTGGGACACAATCGACTGCATTGGGGTATTCTATCACAGAGTGCCTACAATCTGATTCTTGAGCGCAGATGATGTGAGTTCTTGAAGCAGTGTGGGTCCAGCAACTTACGTATGTTACCCAGCAGCATCGGATCAATACATAAGCAACCAAGTTCGAGGTGTTATTCAAGGATTCGGACTGGCTAGTAGCAGTTTACGATGTCTCTAAGTGAGACGACATTTTATTCGGGTCTTCGAGCAGACCATTGTAAGCCTAGGAACTAAAGGTTCAACATTGTCAGCTACAAAAGATAGGGGAAAGCTACATTCTAGATTGATCTTGTGGGCGAATGCTGACCTTGATATCGGTCCTGTGGACTGATACATTGCCGGTGAATTGATGGCATGGTTGTGTGGCTTTGATATTCATTGATTATGGTTGATTGATTGATGGGAGAGCGCATGTACCTCGCCTCGGCGCCAGACGACTGGTTGACTGCTCTAACTAATAATGAGCGAAGGTGTTCACGCGAATAAATGTAGTGCGCGAGAAACAGACAGTGATGCACGATGCAACGATTTGCCTAGCGCCGACACCGAAACAAGGACTCCAGGAAGGCGCTAAGTTCGATGCTATGGTTGAGATATGACGATAAGCTGCACTGAGAGGCACCAAGAAGAACTGGAGGTGAACGAAAATACCCACATATACGATTCACGGGGTCGATGAGTACGATAACAGCGAGAACCGACCCGGATTCGCGTTCCCGAACAAGTTGCACTGGTCTAACGTTAAGCCCTTTCTAAACATAGGTCCTCGATCCATATGGTCCTCTATTGCTTCTTCAACAGCCTCGTGAGACCGAAAGGGGGAGGAGGCTTGAAGTATGATTCAACTCGAAGACCCCTCCGTTCGCTTTTCTACAGCATGAGCTACACCAACGAAAAACCGACCAAGCTGAGCACCCATAGGGCCATACTCCGTGGGTATGTTCGAGTGGCACCGTACATAACTGCGGGTCGATGATGTTTGGCAATGCCAGCCGTCATCGATGTGAGGTGTTCGACGAGACCGTGCACGAGACAATTCAGAGCGGACTTGACGTCCCATGCCCAGCTTGGTGGCAGGGCTTGAGCCATGATATGCTAGTCACCTCTACTATACATTTCTCGATGGCGGTACTGAGATCGGCTTGTATAGGCCCAGTCATGGTCTCGCAGTCTATGCGAAGCCGCGTAACCTGGTGTACGAAGGGAAGCTCATCGAAGTTGAGTACTATCCCAATCTCCAATATGTTGCGGTGTCGTATGCTTGGGATCCAAGTAGTGAGTGGGTCCAATGGTTTGGTCGAAAGGTCACAACGCAGGCGCTGCACATTGTCGATCACCCGTCGCACGAAGCTGCCCATTTGGATTGATGCAATATGCATCCCCCAAGATGAAAACGAGGAAAAGCAGAAAGAGCTCCCGAAAATGGCAGACATCTACCGCGGTTCGGCGATGGTTGTATGTCTCATCGGCAAGGTTGATTCCAACGTATGTCGGGCTGTTCGCCTGGGTGCAGCTATCGTGGGGACCGCCGCATACGGAGCACTCGAAAAGGCTGGAGATATCCACGGATGCTTCAGTTTTGTCACGGGAGTGGACAGCCAGGCGTTTATGCAACTGTTTGGCAGTCGTTGGTGGACACGAGCATGGACATTCCGTCTCCCAACTCCGGCGGGCATCCGTCGGGCGCTCGCCGTTCTCCAGGAGGTTTTTTGCGAGCAGCTCAAGGGTCTCTTCGTCAGGACACAATGCCCATTCATCCCGCCGAAGCGCCATGATCACTTCGGCGCGCACTGGAAAGGGGACACCGCGTCAGTTTGTGTGTGTATCTGGACTCGTACTGGATGTGACGCACAAGAAATTCGACAAGGAACAGGGCATGACTTGTTGTTAGCGTTTAAATCTCCTCGTTGGAGGCCTAAGCTAGGCAATACTCAATGGTGTCGATCTATAAACCGCCGCTTCACTTCAGCGCCTGGGCGCACATTCAGGCGAGTGGAACTAGAAGAACTGTGCCTGGGTAGGGTATGAGTGCTCGTTGAAGAGTGGGTAGCCGTAGATCACATCGTTTGGGTTTGTAATGTAAAGGTCCTCGGGCCGTAGAGTAACCATCGACATTCGAGGTTGAGACAATCACCATCGTTTGGTGTCACTGTCTCTCTTCGAGTCTAGCTGTCACGTGTTCGAACCAGAGAAGTAACACTGGGGGTTTAGTAGACGATGCATAGACGATGAGGATCCGCGTACCCCACCATGCTCAAGTCGCTTCCAGAAACTTCAGGTTCAGTGGTGAGGTTTCAATAATAGCTTGGGTTACCACATAAGTACATCAACGGTAGCGCAGACGCCTAAGGTCGAATAGTCTTCCCATAACCAGTGCTAACGCCTTTTGTCACCTTCTCGACAAAAACACCCGAATAGAACAAGCCCTCAGTGGATCCCTCCTGTATACCATGGTGAACGACATCCCCTTGGTCTGAAGGCGAGTCGTTCGGATCAACCAACGGAAGCTACACAAAATCAGAATCATCTCATCAGCAACACGAAGAACCAAAAACCGCCTTACCTTCAAAATGCCAAAATGGAATTCACCCTTGCCAGGACCTCCAGGGGAGACGCTCAGATTAGGTATGGTACCAGTGACAGGCTTTAACGGCGCGCCGTCTTTCGAATAATATACTTTCAGCGTAAGATTATCCCAGTCGACCAGTACCGCGAAATTGTGCCACGATCTCGGAGAAGAGGGAGCCGAGAAGAGGACGTTCAGGGAGTGGTCCAGGACTTTGAACGAATGCGCATTTGGCGCTGGAAGTGGCCCGGGAGGATTTGTGAAAGGGGATCCTGGTGTATCATTAGCTCGAATCAGAAGGATCAGTTCTACAACTGACCTAATTGTACTCCGAAAACATGGGATCCGTCACTAGTCTCAATGAAAACGATCTGGTACTCATGATCATAATTCAAAGGAAAGCGCTCGTCCAGCTGAATCGAGAAATGAAACGCCGTTACGCCCTCCTCGATATCCGGTAACAACGCAGTGGGCCCTCCTTCCTCTGCCTGCGCAAGCAGCTCTGTGCGGCGGAAACCAAATTGGGGGTTGTTCCCACCGGGAAAAAAGACCGATGTGTTGTCAATTCTCATTGATATCACCTGCTCCGTGGGTACAGTGAAGATGGGAAGCGGGAGGAAGGGGATCGGGCTTTTGTCCCAGAGAGGGGTCGGGCGTTTGGTGTGTCCCAAGACAGAACTATACTGGGTTGAACAAGTCAGAGAGGCTCCTCGACGGAAATGGTGAGGGAAATGTACATGAGTTGCAGACTCTGTGCCCTTGACCACTCTACGCAAGGCATCCAGTCAGTTTACAAATTGGCTACTGAGAAGCGCAAAGCCCACGTTAGGAACGGGCCAGTGGAAGTATCCAGACTCGCCTCCGGGAACGAGAATGGCACGCGTCCGTCATACACAACAGGTGTTGCAAGTACAGCTGAAGCTGCAACCACCAGTAATAGAAGCCACAGCATTTCACAACTCTGAAGCTCAGCGACTCGGGATTTATATGTTAGCGGAAAAAGTTCGGGTGGTAAAATGTCGGGTAAGTAATGCGGACTCGGAAAGAATGATTTGCAGGCAAGTATGAGGTGCACGAAGCTACGAATGATACCATCGAAGTCAAAAATCTCCATAATCACATAGACTACTAGAAATTGGAAGTTAGGGCATGTAGAAGAACAGAATAGAGACGAAGGGATTGACCTTGAGCTAGACATCCATCAATACAGTTGAGTTGAAAACATAAAAACCTGTAGCCTCCGTCCTCACCGCGACGCTGCTGGCTCGTATTAACTAGTTCGCCGTCCCTTTCGGAGGAACAATCGACTCCATGGCGACCCAAGCCTTCCTCTCTGATACCGGTAGTTCGTCGAGGAATCTAGGAATCGCTTTCTTGTTCCTGTCGGCGTCTTTCTGCGGCTTCAGCACGATTTCCATTGCACCGCAAGCGGCTGAGTAGTCTCGTTCGTGTGTACTTTGTCTTGCAGATCCAAGCCCCACATTCTCCTCTACCTACCACGAATCGCATCCAAGTCCTCCTCGCTCGCATCCCTAAGAAGAACTGTAAGATGCCCGGCCGCGCAAGGACCTGCTGCATGTTCTTCCCACCAGCGAGCTGTAGTAGGATGGGAGGACGATTGATCGTAGAGGATTGCTCCAGCAGAAATCGTGTCTGGCAATGGCGTGGCCTCGGGTCATCCGTTGACGCATATCCAGCGCGGAAATACACCGTAGATGTTTCCACTTCAGGACCGCCTGCCCGCGAGATACGAAGGGCGGAAGTCTGTGGATCAAACCGTGCAGACGTAGCTAGGTCGTCAAACGTCTGTCATACAAGGCGGATGGAGTGCCTATACAACCGGCATGTGAGGTCGAGCGAACCAGGGAGCAACGAGAGATTCCTGTTAATGACTGGATTCGTTATAGGATATTTCTTGGTAACAGTTCCCACTACGAAATAGCGCGAACTACAATGATCATGAGGAGAAAAGGTTCAACTGGTGTAGATCGGTCACGTGTGCCTGCCCCCTCCAGCGGCGGCGGACTAAAGCCACTCACACCGTTCAATGTTGCCTACAGGCATGGCGGCGGTAACAACAAAAAAAATCAGACAGATTGCCGCTCCTGTATTCTTGGAAAGAAGTCTCGAAACACCAGTGTCGTCGTCGACGCCGAATGACTGGCTTCTTGGGCGCCGTTTATTGCTGTCGAGTCACCCCTGCCTCCCTTTTCAGCAGACACTCTCAGTACGTGGACTTCGCCAATACCCTCTTCCACGTCCGCCCTGTCTCCCATGTCCGCCCTGCTAGAAGCTCCCATTTTGCCCCATACCAGCACATGTATCTCCATTTCTTACCCTTACTCACGGCCGCCAACCAATGCTACTGATGATGGATGTACGAAAGCCGGTCGCAACCGTTGTTGCTATTACTCACCGAACCAGACCCGTTCAGCCCCACGACATGGCGGAAGGGAGGATAGGTTATCGCTCCGCTATGTGCAGTTTTAAGGAGCAGAGAGCACTAGAGAGCGTTGGCTGATATCCGAGGAGCCGCCCTGAAAGAGGAGGACGAGTTCTAGCGCGTATCCACTCACGCGCCCGCCATCAGGGATCGTAACAAAATTGGAAGGATGGGTCGTGTCTATCTACCCTTCCCTCTACGGTCTCCGGCTCGACCAATTTAGCCTCAATGGCGACGTCGCACTGGCTTTTGATATTGTGGAGGAAAGTGAACGAAGTGGACGCACCATCTCCACGACTATCACTGCATCAGAAATCACTACACCACGCCGCCAACAGCCAAAAAGACCTGGCTGCCACTCGAGAAGTCCCCCTTCTCTGCGCAGCCTCTCATTGCTTCCGCTATCCGCACCTCTCCCCGCTGCCGCCATGTGCTCCCCGCTCCAGCATTCCAGCACACAAGTACTCGGAACTTCGGAATTAGGAAACCTGCAGCTGAGCCTGCTGAGCCTGCGAGCGACAACATGAATGCCCGATGCGACCTGAGTGCGTGTACGGGGGCGCTGTCTCCACAGTCTGCGGGTCAAGCGTAGCGACCTAGTTTATCATCAAGACGTTGACTTGGGACACTTGAATTGTCTGCATCGTCGGTGAATGGGTGAATCGAGAGGTAGGGAGACCGGAAGAGGGAAAAGAATACTGGGGTGGTTCGGGGAACGAACTATTTTTTGCTCTGATTTCAAGCTCCGGTCTCCATCGGTCGTACATCCTGGATTCATTCACCCAGTATCCCCGTCTCCTAACCGCGCTTTCCCGCCACCATACACTAGATTTCAGATTATCGACACTTTAGCTTCATTGTGTTACGCACTATTCCGTTCACTGTTCTCTCGCCCTTCCTCCGCTTCTTCCTAACTCGTTCTCACAGCTTTTCTTTTTTTCTCCATGTCTTTGTTCTGTCTCTCCTACTCATCAAATAAATCTTGTAGTCGTCTACCGCCAGAAAATCCACCCTAAACCTTTGTCATCCGTCATCGTCACTTTGCGGCTCCTTCTCAGCCTCAAATTACCCTTCAATAAATATGCCTTCGGGTCGTGCGGAGCGCACGAATGTTTAAGTCAGCTTCCCCTTCATCCACGAGAATACGAGGCCTTCAACGTATCCACGAGTGGTCCTACATCCTGCTAGCATATGAGCAGCTACAGGGCCCCAATTTCGCTCCCCTCCATAGAAATGGCTGGTAACGCTTGAGTCACTCTTATGACTTCGCGGCGGGAGCTCAGGTGCCCACCAGCACACACGGAAGCACTCACGTCTCGCCACCTTATGCAGGTATCACAGCAAAAGTGTTGTCAAGGACGGCCATACATGTGGATGACAAACGGTAGATCAATGCTACATGGACAATTCAGAGACGCTTAGGCCGCTGTACTTAGGAGGAGGAGGAAATGTCCTGCGCTTTTTTGATATCTTTCCAACGAGGACCTACGGCAATATCCTGTATGTCAAGAAAAATGGGTTTTCGGGTCGATATCACCATCAAGCACGGGTGGAGCATCATAATGTGGTGTCTGAACACAGGAGGAATCCAGAGGATGCGGGCATCTGGGGAGCCTTGATTGCCCGCATGATAAATCCATTCTCCACGGCGAAAAAATAGACGAGGCGGGGGAGATCTTGGTTTGTACAAGGCATCATTGGCGCGCATGTGATTTCCATGTCCTTTTGCTGTGTTGCTGGAGGCCGTGGCAGAGGAGGCCGCTGCGTCCTGCAGTTGCCCCCTTGTTGCAGCATCCCAGATGCGGATCGTCGTGTCCATTGACCCTGACACGATTTTCGTCCCGTCAGGCGAGAACGCGACGGAAGTGACGCGGTATTCATGCCCGGTGAGCGCATCGCCGACTTGCTGCCCTGTTGAAGCATCCCAGATGCGGATTGTATTGTCATCTGACCCTGACACGATCTGTGCTCCGTCAGGCGAGAACGCGACGGAAGTGACGTGGTATTCATGCCCAGTGAGCGCATCACCAACTTGCTGCCCTGTTGCAGCATCCCAGATGCGGATCGTCGCGTCCCATGACCCTGACACAATTTTCGTCCCGTCAGGCAAGAATGCGACGGAAGTGACACAGTCTTTATGCCCAGTGAGTGCATCACCAACTTGCTGCCCTGTTGCAGCATCCCAGATGCGGATCGTCTTGTCATCTGACCCTGACACGATCTGTGCCCCGTCAGGCGAGAACGCGACGGAAGTGACGTGGTATTCATGCCCAGTGAGCGCATCACCAACTTGCTGCCCTGTTGCAGCATCCCAGATGCGGATCGTCTCGTCATCTGACCCTGACACGATTTGCGTCCCGTCAGGCGAGAATGCGACGGAAGTGACACAGTCTTTATGCCCAGTGAGTGCATCACCAACTTGCTGCCCTGTTGCAGCATCCCAGATGCGGATCGTCTTGTCATCTGACCCTGACACGATCTGTGCCCCGTCAGGCGAGAACGCGACGGAAGTGACGTGGTATTCATGCCCAGTGAGTGCATCGCCGACTTGCTGCCCTGTTGAAGCATCCCAGATGCGGATTGTATTGTCATCTGACCCTGACACGATCTGTGCCCCGTCAGGCGAGAACGCGACGGAAGTGACGCGGTATTCATGCCCAGTGAGTGCATCGCCGACTTGCTGCCCTGTTGCAGCATCCCAGATGCGGATCGTCGCGTCCCATGACCCTGACACGATCTGTGCCCCGTCAGGCGAGAACGCGACGGAAGTGACGTCGCCTTCATGCCCAGTGAGTGCATCACCAACTTGCTGCCCTGTTGCAGTATCCCAGATGCGGATCGTCGCGTCATCTGACCCTGACACGATATGTGCCCCGTCAGGCGAGAATGCGACGGAACCGACCAAGTCTTCATGCCCGGTGAGTGCATCGCCGACTTGCTGCCCTGTTGAAGCATCCCAGATGCGGATTGTATTGTCATCTGACCCTGACACGATCTGTGCCCCGTCAGGCGAGAACGCGACGGAAGTGACGCGGTATTCATGCCCGGTGAGCGCATCGCCGACTTGCTGCCCTGTTGAAGCATCCCAGATGCGGATCGTCTTGTCATCTGACCCTGACACGATCTGTGCCCCGTCAGGCGAGAACGCGACGGAAGTGACGTGGTATTCATGCCCAGTGAGCGCATCACCAACTTGCTGCCCTGTTGCAGCATCCCAGATGCGGATCGTCTCGTCATCTGACCCTGACACGATCTGTGCCCCGTCAGGCGAGAACGCGACGGAAGTGACGCGGTATTCATGCCCAGTGAGTGCATCGCCGACTTGCTGCCCTGTTGCAGCATCCCAGATGCGGATCGTCTTGTCATCTGACCCTGACACGATCTGTGCCCCGTCAGGCGAGAACGCGACGGAAGTGACGTGGTATTCATGCCCAGTGAGCGCATCACCAACTTGCTGCCCTGTTGCAGCATCCCAGATGCGGATCGTCGCGTCCCATGACCCTGACACA